AGAGAGAGAGAGAGAGAGAGAGAGAGAGAGAGAGAGAGAGAGAGAGAGAGAGAGAGAGAGAGAGAGAGAGAGAGAGAGAGAGAGAGAGAAGAGCGGGGGAGGGCAGCACACACACGCAGAGAGTAAGGTGAGTGTAATCTGGGAACCTAGAACATATTATGGCTGGCTGACGGTTCTTTATCCACTTGCAAGCAGTCCGACCGCCTGAAGAACTGGCAAAAGTCGCAAAACCTAACAGAAGGGAAAGGGAAGGAGGAAGGGAGGGAAGGAGGGAGGGAGGGGAGGTGGGATCTGAAGGAAACGAAAGCAAATGAGACGAGGTTTGGGAATTGGATGACTCACTGTTCTGGGTCCTCCTGATCGATTCCGAGATGAACTCGCGTCTTCTCCTCCATTACCCTGAGTCTGAATATACGAGTGGGCTGCTTAACCGTTTGCACTGCTGTCGACCAGTCATCCGCGACAAAACTGCTGGGAGCATGGAACTCTTTCCACACATCTGTGGACGACCGCGGGCCAGCCATCAGAGAGGCCACTACTTGTTTGTCTGAATGCAACGTCAACACGAACCTACGTGACAATACCGACCGCGCGCTCTCTGGGAGTGGCAGCTTTGTCACAACATGAACACCCTTTCCACGAGACAACGCCTTCGCCATAATCCTATAGTGGCCCGGCTGGAGAATCGTTTCCACTTGGCACACCGCTTCATAAGACTGTTTCATTGCCACAGTCTGGTTCTGTTTGTCCACTATCCATAGCCCAACCTTGAGGGGAGGTGATACCCCGAGCCTGCAATCGAAACCAACCAAACAATAAACAGACACATGCCGTCAGATGGGGAAGTTGAACGGATATAATATCGAAACAGAAAACAGAAGTAATATTAAAACAAAAACAAAAAAACAGGAGAGAACGTTAACGAGTCCTCTAAAATTCAGCGTTTACATAGAGTGCGTTCCGCTTTCATACACACTCGGACGGGGGGGGGAGGAGGGGGAGGAGAAGGTTAACGAGTCCTCTAAAATTCAGCTTGCATGAACGTAGATAGGCTAGATAGGCTTGAGTAGTGTAGGCCGGGCGCTGGGCGCCAATCAGTAGGCGCGACATTGGATACTATGTTGGTGTGGCCAGAGGGCGTCGTCGGCATTGACATGCAGGTTCATTGTACTGCTCCTTCATTTGGATGTATCTTCGTGCATTGTGCTCTCTGCTCGGTACACGACTATCTGGACTGCAGCGTGATTTTGCAATTTGGATTTCTGTCTATCGCTCTCGCTCATATTCCTTGCACAACCAACTTTCTTCTTTTTTTTTTTTTAATGCGACCAACTTTTTTTTGGTTTGTTCTTAAAACCTAAAACCTATATTCTTCTCTGAATATGCCTCCCACTACCAACCTATATACTACTAGCTTAGCAGAGGGGACGCTGGGGTTATGGGTTGTTGGACTCCTGGCCTCCAGATTCTTCGCCTCAGCATATCCCCCGGGCTGTTCTACGCAGGGAACAGAACCAAGGCTCCTTGCACCGAGGACAAGCCGAACTTTCGCGGTTGGTGAACCCGAAGCATAGCACACAGGGGGTCGCGGGGAATCAAATGGATGGCCATGACCTCCTGTGTACCACTCCTGCGCTCAACCCACTGAACTTGGCCGCTTGGCCAATGCAACCAACTTAAACCACCAGTACCCCAGGGGGATCTTAGGCCCCCTCTGGGGAGGCTCTGAGATGCAAATGCATATGGACCCGCGCGGCGCACCGATTCAGCCACCGCATTAATGGCCTAAAAAAACGTGGAGGTACTGGTGGTTTAATCATTCACTCACAGAGTCACACCCAACTTAACCCATTCACTCACACTCAATTGCTTGATGACTTTGATCAGTCAGGCGACAATTATGGGTTTCATACTCGGGGGGGGAAAGAAACCTTTTTTTTTTTTTTTTTTTTTTGGGCCTTGTATTTAATAAGGCGCAATAACTTGAAGACGGGGAGGGGGATGGCACATACAATCGAGGGTCTTCTTGATGAATCCCAAGGAACAAGCGCGTCGGCTCCACAATTTTCAAACGGAACATCCTGCTCGGCTGCGCGCTGTTTCCGCTTCCGGACCAGTCGTCGCCAATAAAGCTGGAGGGGATGCGGAGTTCTTTGCGGGGCTTCGTGCCGTCGCGCATGATACAGCAAACAGTGACTCCCATGAAGTGCTGTCACAAGGCACGAGACAGTTCACACACAAAAAACAAAAAAAACAGTTCACACACAAAAAACAAAAAAAAACAGAACATGGAAAAGCAAAACCAATAGTCTGAGAGGAGAAATTACCGAGACAGGAAAAAAAAAAGAAGGGTCTCTTTAGCTGAAGCTCCCCAGAATGGAAAAGGAGCCAGAGCCCTAAGGTTCTGTTTGGGAAAAAGGAAAAAAGAAAAAAGAGGGACTGTTTAGTATTTACAGTGTTCAGAACATTAGTTTCTTCAGAACTTCAGGATAGCTGAGTAAGTGCGAAGTTGAGAAACATGACAAAAACAAAAAAAAAACATGCAATACTTCGCATCAACTTCAATCACACTAAGGGCACACTCACACCAGGAAAACATGCGATACTCGTCCACTTCAATCACACTAAGGGCACACTCACACCAGGACTTTTCCGGCTCAGCTCTGGACAGTCGGATACATCCAGAGTCGGCCGTAATTTCACCAAAGTAGCCGGCAATTTCTTTTTTTTTCTTTTTTTCTTTTTTTATTAGTAGCCGGCAATTTCTGTTCAGATCAATGACAACACCAGCAGGTCAGTGACAAAACTGGCAGGCTATGGGCGGGGTGTCCCACTAGCCCAGAGGGTTGGTTGGACTAAGAGCCTGAATCTGGGCGAGTTTTGAGCAGAGATGCAGAAAAGCAGGTCAATTGCAATTCTCTGCACCTCTGCGCAAGACGTCCAGGTTCAGGCATTGAATCTGATCCTCTTTGCTAGTGGGACGTCGGCCTATGCCCGTCGTCCTTTGAGCTGCTCGCTAATGACAAATCTAACAGGCTATTTCTGTTCTCGTGCTGGTCTGTCACGCCAGATGCAGCGGGTTTAAGTCCCGTTTTTCCCGGGAAGTACGGCTGATTGCCTGAGTGGGCGAAGGCAGGTGTGGCTCCCCACCAATAGATCGGAACCATCCGCTAGAGGGAACTATCCCAGGATGATCTTATCACCCCCAATAATAGACCCACCGGGTGCTTTAACAAAGTTTAAGAAACAAACAAAGTTAACAAACAAACAAACAAACAAACAAACAAATAAACAAACAAACAACAAGGTTGTATAATAATGAGTTTAAACCATGGTAACCGACCGGACGTCCGGACCTGGTTCCAGACAGTCCGGAGCCAACTGTACGGGTCCGGTGTCCGGTACCGAATGTCCGGAATGAGGGGCCCAGGAAAAAAATCAAAAAAAAAAAGGGGGCAGCCCAGGACACTTATCGGGTCCTAGGCGCCCCCTGAAAAATATGGGCCTGAATTTTCAGGCACGAATCGGCCTACCGGACGCTACCGGACACAGGTGAGTGAGGGGTGGTATTGAGTTGGGTGTTCGGCGGGGCGATTTCAAATTTGCCGATTTTGAATCCCCCGCCCGTCCTTGCTGCCAGTTCACTCCTGTTCCCGCCCGTGGTTGCTGCCTGCTCCCTCGTGTGTCCTCTCAGGAACTGCCGACGTCGTCGCCGAGGCCATCACCAACCAGTAGCCGGAGAACCCATCGCCGAGCAGCCACCTGCTAGGAGTCCCAGCCAGCTGCGCCCGGTCGACGACGACTCCAGCTTGCAAACAGGTCGGTCTCTCTCTCTCTCTCTCTCTCTCTCTCTCTTTTGTCGTGTTCGATCTTGCGGCCGTTCGATGTTGGGGTTAAACGTCTCTCTCTCTCTCTCTCTCTTCGCGTTCGATGTTGCTGCCGTTCGATGTTGGGGTT